CATCACGGCAGCTGCAGGGTCCGAGATGGAGGCTGGAAGGGAATACTTGAATTTTTAAGAGTTTGTATATTTTAAAGAGACTGAAATTTTAAAAACTGAATTTGTAAAGACTGTGGGACTTAAAGAATATGATTTTCATGTGAGGTCGTGGGGATGAATGACAAAGAAAGGCATGTGGCTTAATAGAGATGTTTGTGTGTCAGGTTGACAAAGGGTCAGTTGTACTCGCTGGTCTTGTGTGTCATCTTGGCACAAACTAGAGTCATCAGAGGAAGGAGCCTCAGTTGAGGAAATGCCTCAGTGAGATCTAGCTATAAGGCATTTTCTCATTTAGTGATCAGTGGGGGAGGATCTGGCCCATGGTAGGTGGTGCCACCCCTGGACTGGTGGTCCTGAGTTTTATAAGAAAGCAGGTTGAGCAAGCCATGGGAAGCAAGCCAGTAAGCAGCTCCCTTCCATGGCCTCTGCATCAATTTCTACCTTTGGGATCCTGCCATTTGAGTTCCTGTTCTGACTTCTTTCAGTGATAAACAGCAATGTTGAAGAGTAAGCCAAACAAACCCTTTCCTCCCTAACTTGCTTTTTGGTCATGGTGTTTCATTGCAGCAATAGAAACCCTAACTATGACACTGTATTAGTACATTTTGGTTTCTGTGTGTTTGTCCTGGAACCAATGCCTGAGGAAGTGAGGGAAGACTGTAGTTATCTGTGTGTTTATGTGTGATGTGCCCGTGTATATGCATGTTCACATAGCACATGTGCTTATGTGTGTACGTCCAGATCAGACTCTGTTGGATGTTTTTTTTGACCACATTCTGTACCTAGGCATGGTCTCTGGAGAACCTAAGGTCACTAATTAGGGTAATCTAGAGTCAGCCTTCCCGAGAATGCCATCTCTACCTCTGAAGGGCTAAGACTCTTAAGTAGGCTGCCATGCCAACCTGGCATTTACTTTGGTCCTTAGCACTTTATCCACTGAGTCATGTCTCCAGCTTTGGAATTAATTTTTAAGATATGATATTATTAAGGGAGGTCACTTTTTCTTTTCTTTCTTTTGTTTTTGGGACCAAGCCTAACTGTGTATTCCTAGCTGGCCTGGAACTCACCTTGCTATGTACACCAGGCTGGTCCAGAATTCAGAGATCTTGGAACTGAAGGCCTATACCACATCTGCTGAGGTTCTTTCTTATTGGAAATTCATCTTCTCAGTGGGGTCCCCATGATGTATTTAACACAACTTCTTTCCCATCCCTGGGCACCCCTACTTCTGCTTCACTGCTTCACCTTCACCATGAAAACGCATCCTTTCTGTCACATCATCGAATCTACTCGTCTCCTTACTGTTCCCTCGGTGGCATCGGGAGTGCGCCCTGGGCGACTGTTTGACGCTTTGTATGCAGAAGTTTCAGGGTGAGTGCTACTTATAATGCACTCACATTCTCTCTCCTGGATTTGCTGATATTAGTTTCATTGGCGTTTAGGCCAGGATTCCGGAGGAAGATGAGGTAGGCTGAATAGATACGCTGTCCACTCACTGAGTATATCACCCATCTCTCCAAGGACCAAAGCAGAGTTGGGAACCCTGAGGCTCTTGATTTTCTTACCTGCTAAGTAGCCTCAAAGTACTCTGAGAGTACAGATGAAAGATGCAGTGCTGAGGAGTTCTCTATGATGTAAAAAGATAGGGTTTTTACCTAACAGAAGATAAAAAACCATATTTCTGCCTGACACCTGGTATTTGTTAAAGGCAAGACCTGAAATCAAGTCCCGGTTTGTTCTAGGGATTTGGCAGATGCAATTTTGCTGTACTGAGACTTTATGCACACCAGTACTAAGAAGTGAGGGGCTGGAGAGATGGCGAAGCTTCAGGGCACACACTGCTGCAGCACAGGACCCAATTCTGTTCCCAGCACTCACGTCCATCAGCTCACAATCATCTCCAGGGACCCAAATATTTATTCTGACTTCTACAGGCACCTGAATACTCAGCCTAGACACACATACACACTAAAAAACAAGACAAACAAAACGAGCCAGGCAGTAGTGCTGCACACCTTTCATCCCAGCACTCGGGAGGCAGAGGCAGGCAGATCTGAGTTTGAAGCCAGCCTGGTCTACAGAGTGAGTTCCAGGACAGCCAGGGCTACACAGAGAAAACCTCTTAAGGAAAAAAGAAACAAAACAACAAAAACAAAAACAAAAAATCCAAACAACACCCCCCAAACCCGTGAACCAACCAACTAAACAAACAAACAAACAAACAAAAAATCCCCCAAACAAGAGAGTTTTTTTTTAAATATTTATTTATTTATTTATTTATTTATTTATTATGTATACAATATTCTGTCTGTGTGTATGTCTGCAGGCCAGAAGAGGGCACCAGACCTCATTACAGATGGTTGTGAGCCACCAAGTGGTTGCCGGGAATTGAACTCAGGACCTTTGGAAGAGCAGGCAATGCTCTTAACCACTGAGCCATCTCTCCAGCCCAACAAGAGAGTTTTTGGTGTCAAGTTTTGACTTGTCCTGGGTAATGTGATGAGCATTGCAGAGCATGCCCAAGCCCTCAGTTTAATGCCCAGCACAGGCTCTCCACCATGCAAGACACCACTCATATGTGTTTTCTCTCAACATCCTTGCCCTCAGATGTGACCTCTCAGTACCAAGTGCCCAGTTCTATGGCCTAGTTCTTTCCTAACTGCTAGTGAAACGCACGGCTCTCAGGCCTTCTCTTGGTCTACCTGTAACACGACCTTGCTTAGCTCACCAGAAAATGAGGTGATAAAAACTGTCTCAGATTTACTGATGAACTCAATGGCATGGATAATTTACAGAAAGCACAATCCCTGGAATTGGTTGGTACAGGCTTCCATAAATGCTTTGTATAATATATATTTAGTTTCCTGACTTCTGGGTGAGTCACTTTCTAACAGTCCTTGAGGCTGGGGTCTAGCTCACTCTGAGAGCACTTGCTCAACACTCTGAGAGCACTTGCTCAACACTCTGAGAGTGTTGGCCTGTTTGTCCCTAGCATTGCAAACAGTGCAACACCCCCTCCCACTGTCTAATCATCTCCAGTTAAGGTCCGGGTAACAATATGAATCAAGTGTGAATTTCTTCACTTGGTTTCCAGTTTTCCTATTAAAAGTGACTTTAAAACCACGTTTGTTTATTTAATATGTGTCGAGTTTATGGGCCATAGTGCCCGTGTGGAAGTGAGGGGATAACCTGCAGGGGTGGGCTCTCCTCTTCACTGTGGAGTGGTAACCAGGCTTGTAAAAAACAAGCCTTTACTCAGAGTCATCTCCCTCCCGGGCTCCTAAAAGCTGGATCCAAAGGAGAGCTCCCACATTCATCTTCACGACATTGCATACGACTGCAAATGATGAAGTAGCCCAGGTGGTAAAGACACACTGGCGAATCCCACAGCTTTAAAGAAGGCACTCTGGCACGTGCTGCAACACGCACTGACGAATCTAGGGCTTATCAGGCTGTGGGAAATGACCCAGTCACAAAAAGACCAAGACGACATGAAGCCACTTTCAAAGGGCTCAGTCTTCAAATTCATAGAAAGTAGAATGGCTGTTACAGAGCCGGACGTAAAAATTTGGGGGATTACGATTTAACCGGTGCAGGCTTGCTTTGCATGCCAAAAAGAAAGATGGAGGGATGTAGAGAGGGTGGCCACACCGTGGTTAATTTTGTTAATAAGAAAACATTCAGAACATTCCCTTTCGTTGTACTTATTAAACTTAGTGTTTCCCTTTTCTTTCCCTCTCCCGCAGAATGCTCTTCGCACATTGTTCTCCCAACACATCACTCACTTCCGCTTGACCCGGCGGTGTTTCTTCTCTAGAATGGTCTTCACGATCCCGCACTATCAATAAACTTGCTTGCATTTGCATGCTTGCATTTGCATTTAAAGATGCTTCTATATCCGATCACGAGTCCCATTCAACATAGGAATGAATCCCACTCTCCCGAACCAATCCTCTAGTCTTTCTGCACCACACAGAGAGTCTCACTTGGCTTATTGTTTTAGCTCGTCTTTCCAACCTAACTCCCAAGTCCCGAGGACCAGTCTGCATTATCGCCCATCTCCCAATACATACACATTCCCGCTCAGAAGACTCCCCGTAAACACCCAATCGCGATGGAGGAAGCCAATCGACACTTTAAAGGTGATTTAAACCAGTGTGCAACTTCAACACAAAAGCTTTCAAAGCCAAATTGTTGGGGAGCACACCGGCGTAAGGCGGCAAAACCGGGCGTCCGTAGGCTCCTTAAAGGCAGCGCTGTAGTTTGCAAAGCCCGAACACTTCACAGACATTTTTGAGGGCCACGCGGGAGGGCGAGGGAACACTGACTGTAGTGAATTTAGGAAAGAAACAGTCACGAGATCGCTGGAGTCGCCGAAGCCTTCAACTCGCGGCTCGGTTTGCAAAAGCGCGAAGAACGGTTTTAAAGCTGTGCTTCCGGTAGCGGCACTTGCCCGCATGCTCAGAAAAGCGAACCGAAGGGCACTGCCAGCTACGGGAAGTCGTGGGGGACAATTTCCTTTACCGAAATCGTCCGATGAATAGCGGGCACCCATAACCCAGAAGTGAAAGGCTGTTCGCTTCACTATCAGACACCCCGACGATCAAAGGAAGTTCTGGCTGGAAAACTTGTCCACGCTCTCCTGACTCCTCTCTAGCTCTTTTATCTCACAGCCTTCTCCAAGTCTCGCTTGAGTTTTGCTTCCACTACTCAGAGGGCCTAAATATTCCTTGGTCACCTTTTCCATTGAAGCACCTTTACGCTACGGGTCGCCATTAGAGTCAATCAACATCCTCCTAGTGAGGAAAGGGAGCCTGGAGCGGCCAGTGCGCCGGGCGTTACCATAGAGAGGAAGCCACCTCTCTGGGCTGAGTTTGCAGTCTCTATGGTTCAGCTGAGCTGGTGGCGGTAAGGGGAAACACAGTAAGGCCGCATTGCGCAGGCGCAGTCGGCTTCTCACTTTTTTTTTTTTTTTTTTTTTTTTTAATCCCCGCACCAAGCGCTTAACCTCATTGGGGTGGAGGAGAAGGCGGCGGCTGTCCGGTCCGCAGCCCCAACAGTTGTGAATAATAGAGCTGTAAGTACCGGGTTAAAGACGAAGAATGTTCAGACTGGAGTCCACCCGAGGACCCTGCTCCCTTTCCGGGCGGCGGCGGACGCAGGGTCCGGGTGGGGACGGTGTCCGGCGCTGTCAGTCGCTCTGGGGTGCACTTTTGGGGGAGGGGGCGGCCCTGGGATGGGATGGGGTGAGAACCCAGGATGCGCGACTGCTAGATCCAATCCTGATCGCGGGCTGCTTTGCAGAGGGGAGGTGGGGCGGCTGTGGGGTCAAGCCTGGCTTTGTGTGCCTGTCTCTTTCAGACCCCACCCCGGGGCCCCTTCTTGACCCGGAGTCTCCCCTGGCCGTCTTGGGAGACGCCAAAGCAGTCCGGGGGTCTCTTTGAAAAGAACCCACATTGCACAGAGCGGGAAGGGGCTCCAGGAGAAGAAACCCCACTCCAACTAGTCATCGGCGAGTGATGGGTGTGGAGAAAGATTCAGAGAGAAGAAGGGGTTGTCGGGGAGGCAGGCCGGGCGGCCGGGGCTCCCAGCCCGGGCCAGACAAAAGCGGAGCAGCCGGGGCCCAGCGGGATGCAAAAGGTCCCCTTGGTCCCCATGAGGGCCCCGCTGCGAGGGTCTTGGCTAAGCTGGAAAGAGCGGACAAGTGCTGAGTTAAGGCTGTTCAGCCTCCTCAACTTGCCTTTGTTGTTCTTTGGTATTGGCAGAGCCGCTCTGACGAAGATGAGTGTGTGAGCTTGCATGTTAGTCTGGTTGGGTACAATGGAGCAGATTGAATTTTGCTTTCCATTTAATGAGCTGTTTGGATGAGTGTGGGGTTTTCCAAAGTCAAACTCATTATATAAATATCTATAGATTTTAAAATTAGTTGTGTTTATTTCTTGAAAGAATAGTTAGATGGAGCCTTAAAGCTTGTTGTGTCGCATCGAGTGGATTTCTGTTAGGGGATTCGTTCATGAGACACTGACCTAATGGTGGAACCTGTGAGTTCTTTAAACCTGATACTTTAATTTGTGATGTGGCGCCGAGTGCTTTGGATGCTCTAGTCCTTTGGGAGTCAGTGATGCGGGAGAGTCAAGAGTGATACAGTTGCCTGCTACCCCGCACCTTGCACCAGATTCAGGTGCCACTGGCTAGTATCAATTCTAGCCTTAGAAATTATTATTATTTTTATTGTTATTCATGACATTTATGGAACTCTTGGTATGAGGGATCCGAAACAGAGGGGTCTGGTTGCTCATTCACGGAGTGGGAGGGAGAATAGCAACATTGATGCAGAGACATAGAGATAGGGAAAATAACACAGCGCCCAGAGAACTGAATATTACTTATCTTTTTTACTTGCTAAGAAAGATTTAAGTTTTAATGAGCTATTTGTTCATTCATCTTTGTAAAGTTGGCTAATTGCAGCCTTGTTGCAGGACTCAAATTTAGTTTCTGTAAGTCATTGTTTATTATGAGTAACATGTTTTTATTGTCAGCTTGACCCAACCTCCTCTCCCAGGAATTTCCCAGATCAGATTGACCTGTGGCCATGTCTATAAGAGATTGTCTTGATTGGTGGTTGATGTGGGAGTGCCTAGCCCACTGTGGGTGGCATTGTTCCTAGGCAGGTAGGTCTGGGCTGTATAAGAAAGCTGGCTGAAGTAGTCTGTTTTCTCTTTTCTCCTGCTTCTTGATCTGAAGCCATGAAACTCTGTCTTGCTTTGAGGACTCCTTGTGCTTTGTGTGCCAATTTATGCTAATGAAAATTTGTTTGTAGACTTCTGGCAAGATGCTACCCCAGTTTTATGAGTTGTAGGTAGGGACAGTCTTCTTTGAATTTAGTCAGATTGATGCCTGACTTTTTTGAATTTATTTGCTCTCTTATCTCTTATGAACTCAGGACACATTTCTTACACGGAGCGCTCTCACCCACCCCTCCTTCCCCAAGTAGAGAACCATAGAAATGCATGTAAACAGAAGAGCCAGCATCATTTCAAGTGCAGACTTTGGGGATCTAACCATGATATTAATTTGGAATATTTGCTACTTTATTGGACTTTTTTCTTCTGGCTTAAGTGGAGGAATGAAGCTGTAAATTTGGGTGATTAAGGCAGCCTTGATACCAGCTGCCTCAGGATGGCACACCCCTCAAAAGTTGGATGCATGCCTATAGATATAGTTTTTACTCTCTCAAAGTTTTAAAATGAGTTTTCTCTTCTGTATATACTTATTAACTTTTGGGGTTATGATTTTAAAAAGCCTTTTCAAACTTTAAAACTGTAGTGAAGACTTTTTTTTAACATAAAAGTTTTTTAAATATTAAGAAAAGAAAAGAAGAAAACCAGCTGAGCAGGTCAGAGAGCAGGCTAGTAGGCAGTGGTTGTCATGGGTCCTGCTGGGAGTTCCTGCTGAAGTTCCTGCCTTGACTTCCATAATGGATTGTGACCTAACGGGCAAGCCAAATGTACCCTTTTCTCCCCTAAGTTGCTTTTGTTGATGTGTTTGTCACAACAGAAGGCAAACCAGAACTATAACTGGTTTAAATCTTTAAAGTTTAAAATTATTTAGCTTCCTTATTGACAGTGCTGGGAATTGACCCCAGGGTTTTGTGTGTACTAGAAAGTTCTCTGTCAATGAGCTATGTCCCAGCCTTGAAGCTTTTAACTTTTTACATGTATTGTTAATTTGTATATGTTTGTAAGCGTCTGTATATGTAAGTGTGCATGTGCCGTACACAGCAGGCATGTGGCAGTTAAAGGACAATTTGTAGGAATAGGTTTTATTCCACCATGTAGGACCCTCTATTCACAGGCTTCTCACTGCCTCTAGCATTTTTTTTTTTATTGATAGCAAGGAAAAATCTCCAGCATGAGTTTACTTGCCCCAGTAACAACTGTGGTAGACGCTGAAGTATAGCACAGACAATGGACCTGGCTTTTTATAGAGCAGGATTTAGATCCTTAAAATAGTTTATGTGGATGGTGAGGAAGGATCGGTCAGAAGGATTAGGATTGTCTATCATTCGAATGTGTTTCATTTTGTTTGGTTTTGGATTTTGATTTTTTTTCAGTGTTCTGTTACTTTTATTTTCTTGAGCAGCTCAATGTCTTGGTTTAGAAATTTGGGCAGATAATTTATGTACTTGATTGTCTTTATTCTTAGTAATCTACTTTAAATCAGTTTCTATTACATTTATCTATTGGCACATATTTATTAGTGTGTGTATGTGTGCCAGGTACATGATATGATTGAGGACAACTTTCTTTTTCTGTTTTTTTTTTCTTTTCTTTCTTTTTTTCTTTTTTCTTTTTTGTTGTTTTTTTGAGACAGGATTTGGCTGACCTAGAGCTTGCTTTGTAGACCAGGCTGTCCTCGAACTCACAGAGTTCGCCTCCCTCTGCCTCCCAAGTGTTGCGATTAAAGGCGTGCGTCACTATGACTGGCTCAGAGGACAGTTTTTGAGTGTCAGATCTATCCTTCCTCCCTGTGTGTTCTAGGGACTGAATTTAGGCTTGGTGTCAAGTGCCTTTACCCACTGAGCCTTTTAAGCCATTTTAAAATCCATTTTTAAATAAACAGTACTTTTAATTGTGCAGTGCGATTGTAACTATAGCCATCTAAGGGTTAATATTCGTCCCAGAGTTGAGTTTCAATAGCTGTTAGTTGTGATAAGTGCCAATCTGGTTTCCAAACTAAATGGTAGTGGTAAATGGTAGATAATAGTAAAACATGCTTAACATCAGAACCAACTAGAGATGTTCTTGAAGGTAAGAGAAAGGTCAAATTTATTTAAAACAAAAACTACAGAGAGAAGAAATCACAGGTGATACATCTCGATTTGTAAAATGTAGTTGTCAAGAATGAACCATGCTTTCTTTGCTTGGTGCCTGGCAGAGAGCATCGCCCATAAGGCGTGCGTACCTATGAGAGAGAGAGAGATTAACTGGCGAATGCGTACCTATGAGAGAGAGATTAACTGGTGAATGAAGCACAAGTCTTCATTGATAGTTTCTAACTGGCTCCTCCCATCCCAGGGCTTTATTGGTTTCTTTGCTGCCGCACCTGGTGATATTTGTCCCTAGATTTGTGCTGTGTCTTATCCCACCACCCCGGGTCCCAACAGTACTGAGATGGTGGTATTACTGACACAACGCCTTGTTGCCTTCCACTCTCTTCCTGCTGGAAGTCTCTTCAGTCCTTGCTGTTTCTGGTTTTATTCCTCAACTTCCCCGTCGCACTGCTTCCCTCCTAGACATTTACTCTTCTTTAGATCCTTGGATATAGGGAGTTTGAGAACGTTCTGTGATGGCGGCTAGTGTGACCCGTGGGACTTGTCTTCTAGTGGGAGTTGTTGATTGTGTGAAAGAATAAGGAAGTGTGTCGTGGAGCTGGAGAGATGGCTTAGTGCTTAAGAGCCCTGGCTACTCTTGCAGAGGACCTGGGTTCGGTTTCTAGCCCAATATGGTGGCTTACAGCAGTTTGTTACTCGAGTTTCAGGGCTGCTTCTTCTGTCTTCTGGTCTCCAAGGGCACCAGGGACTCCTGTGGTACATAGACATATATAGGCAAATACACTCAAACACAATAAAGTAAATAAATCCCTCCTCCCACTGCCCTAGCTTGGTAATAGGATTGGAGCTACGGAAGAGCTCCTAAAGGCTCATGGGCCACTGTCTCACCTGACATCTGCAGCATTCTGCTCTCCAGCTTCAAACTGCAGGCGAACCTCTTTGTTTCAGGACAGGCTTTGTTGACTGCATCAAATCTGGCCTCTGCTTTTACTTGATGACATTAGTTATCCCTCAAAGCAGGATGGTTTAAGTCTGTTTTTTCCCACCACCAGCTCTCTTCATATTCCCACGGGCAGTCAGCAGGCTTTCCTTGGATTTAGATTAGGGTTTCTTGTTCAACTCTTTCATGAGTTGGGTACCAGCTCCTCAGAGGTCCAGTTACAGAGACCTATAAGCATGCTAGGGGCTCACAGTCTGGGAGGGGAGACGATGGTCTGAGTTGGTGCTACATATATTAGGTGTCT